AATTTATAAAAAGAAAAAACACTCCAAAATTAAAGTCTCATATCGAAAACATAACATTAATAATACCCTAAGCGTCAAGTAATTCAAAAAATTATGTGAAATTTAACAACAGATGTGTATGACAGGGAAAAGAACATTACTCGAGTTTGCCTAGGGGGAAGACACGGTGGCTTCCGGTTTGATCCGACGTGACGCCGATGAACGCGCCGTCGATTAAGGCGTTTCCTGAAGCTGGAGTAACTAAAACATTCTCCGGAACGCCGTGAAGAACACGGTGACCTAGCACCACCAAATCGGAGTCGGTGACGCTGATTCCAGCACCAACGGTCATTGTTACTTCCTTGTAGGGAAAATAAAAAAAATGGAAGAAAAAAGAATGAAACCTCGATACTCACGCTACTTTCGAGAGTGAGTTAAGAAGTTGGACAAGAGAAAGGGTATTTATAGAACGTTATCGATGACGTGTTCATATCTAGCGGACACGAAAATGCAAAATAAAAATAGTATAATAAGATACATAGGGTCCGAACGGTAACCGCGGTTTTTATTGTGCGGGAAAAGCGTTATTATAGTGCGATACGGTTCAACTGCGGTACGTGCGGGAGAAATATAGGCTCCGAATGGTAACTGCGTTTTGCGGTACGAGAGAAGTGCAGTATTACAGTGCGGTACGGTTCAACTGCGGGACGTGCGGGAGAAATATATTTGCGGGACAAGTGCGGTTTGTATAAAATAAGCGGTACAAAATAATATTTGATTAGTGAAAAAAGTTATTTGCGGGACAAATGCGGTTTTATATATATATATATATATATATATTAATAATTAATTAATTTTTTGTGTTAATAAATAAACACTAACAGATATTTCTATACCATTAATACACAAATTGATCAAAATATAAATTTAATTTTTAAACATACATATTGTTGAATCTGTTGAATAATTTCATCATAAAAAAAAAGTACAACACATTAAAAAAGTATTATCTATTACTTTGATTTTCCCATAACATATTTGCAATATTGTCTCTTATTTGCGTCATATATTCTCCATCTCTTATCTACGTTGCTTCTATGTCATCTAAATCATGCTCAAAATCTATGTTGTTTAGATTAATATTAAAGAATAAACATTTTAAATATATTAAACTTTAAATACTGAACTTTATTTAAATTAAATTTTAATCATATATATATATATATATTTATTAATTGCTAAATCAATTTAATCATTAAAACAAAATATAACATAATAAAAAACTATTATCAAATACTTTAATTTTATAAAATTTATTTGTTATTCTATTAAAATGAATTTGTTATTTTAATATTTTAATTAAGATATATAGTTATTATAATTTAATATATAATTATTTAATATTAGTATAGTATTTTAGTGGATGTATGTATAGTATATATGGATGTATGTATAATATTTGATTTATAGAGTGTGGAATGTTTACAAGTGCGTTTTCTAAGAAAACGAACAAACAAAAAAACAATTCTGCACTATTTGGACAAGTGCGTTATTGCACTTTTGGTATTTCAATAATTATCTTTTTCTTGAATGGTAACATGTGTGAAAATCCGTCCCGCACCCTCCAAATCCGTCCTGCATATATGCTTCTATTCACTGCCATATTTGCGGGACAAGTGCGGTTTGTACAAAATAAGCGGTACAGAATAATGTTTGATTGGTGAAAAAACTACTTGCGGTACGGATTATAGATTATATATATATTAATAATTAATTAACTTTTGTGTTAATAAAGAAATAATAACAGATAATTATAAACCATTTATACAAAAATCGATCAAAATATAAATTTAGTTTTGTCACTCTTTTCTTTAACATGAACATTATATCTCAGAAAATCAGAAAGAATCCTCCATTTTTTCTTCCAAACTCCAAAAGTTCTCTCGACAACAGAATTTAAAAGAAAGTATGATGATGTCGAAAAGAGAGATAAAAAAAAACAGGTTATAATAAAGTGAAAGAGAAGTTTAGATATGTTTATTTGGGGTAAAAAAATATCATATATATTAATATATAAATACTTTTAATAATTAAAATATAAATAAAAAAACATATATGTAAAACCCATTGCGGAATTTGTTGGACCGCATGGCTTTTGGGAGTTTGCTGTTTCAAAAGCGGTCTACAAGCTTTTACTCTGTTTTGAAAAACGTGAATTGTATTTTGGTAGAAAAGTAAAAAACGTAAATATGTATTAAATAATGTTGATTAACGAAAGTGTGGTTTTCAAAATGAGTTGTTGAAATCCGCAATTTTTATGTCGCCAATCACGGCCATACATTTATTTGAATAAAATTTGGAAAGGTAATTCGGTAAATTATAGAATAACGTTAGTCAATTATATGGCATAAATCCGAGACATATTTAAGAAAACTTATAAATATAGCTTACCATTTGACATAGTTTCTAAATGACGCATATGATTCTTGACGGTGTAATCGGGGTCGAGAATATGATGATGTTTATGTTTATTTTATTTTTGTCATTTTTTGGTTCACTATGGAAATCTCATGCCAAATCCCAAACTAATCATCCGATATTTATTAAAATCTGGATTATTTGTGGATAAAAATATTTGCAGATGAATAAAAATAATTAAAACTGCAGTAAAAAACACCAAGAAAACATTGAATGAATATTTCAACCACATTTAATGAATATCACGATTTGTTTTTTAATCATAGATATTAAAATATTATATAAAGTGTTTTCCATATTTCTATGAAATAAATTATAATTTTAGTTTTATTTAAAACGATTATATTAATCACTAGGATTTAACTCGCGGTACACCGCAGGACAAAATTATATTTTATGTATTTTATATAATAATTTATAATTTATTGGATTTTTAAATTGATATTATAAAAAAAATCTCATTTAATTATTTTATATTATAATTAATATAGTTGAAATATGTGTACTTAGACCATATTTAACGGGTGAACACATAAGATGGTCTAAGGGTTAAAAAAATTGTAAATAATGTGAATAGTGTGTTAGAACACTGGGGAGAGATCTTCCGCAAGATCAGGTCTTAGAGTGATCTTGCTCCACGTGGCAAACCCTGAGTGGAAGGGTTTCATTTTTCAGTTTTGGCAACTAGAGTTTGCGTCTCTTTCTCTCTCCATGTGGGACCACTTCTAATATTATTTTAATAATTTAATTTCTTAAGATATATCTTATAAGTTTCACCTTGCATATGCCCTTAGAAGATTTGTAGGTGTAGAAATGATATAGTGTTAATATTGGCAAGCATTTCTAATCATAGACTATTATAATAATTTGATATTATTTTATATCAAAAAAATTTACCCCGCGGTATATTGCGGATCGATTTTTTTAAACTAAAATTTTTAAATTTGAAGTTATATTTGTTTTGTTAATATTGTTTGGTTTGTTTAGTATTTAAGATTATATAATTATATTTTTATTTTTAATTATAGGTTTCGCCCGTGGTATACCGTCCTGTATTAATATCGACTTAAACCCGTCCCACCATATAACCCCGTTTTGTATTCAGAATCATTTTGGTCATTTTTATAGTATGATTCTGAATCATTGTCTAATTTTTTAAGCAATGTGGGACATTGTACACATATTTTTCTTCATCGATTGAGTAATATATGTCCGTTTAAAAAAATTTGAATCACATAATATGCAAAAAAATCTATTATTTTATTAATTATATGCATTTTATATAAATTCAAAATAAAGAACTATAAGATCATAGAAAAGTGAAAGAAGAATCATATATTAATGTTTAAATTAGGTAGAGATATTTTAGGAAAATTTAAAAACAAAATCAATTTATTACCATATTTGAAAGCCATAGTTTCTAAAAGATATTTTCGAAAATATTTTTTAATATTAATTAATAGATAAACATTTATAACAATGACGTTCTCTTGTAAATAAGTTGAAACTCCAGGATTTATTTCATAAATGTCTCCAAAAATGTATATATAGATTTAGATTCTAAAACATAATAAATCTAAATATATATGATACACCATATATATATATAATAACATCACTACAATTAATGCTTGTAATTTGTTAAATATGAAAGATTCTCCACCATTAAAATATAAAAACCGAAAATGACATGAACCGAACATTTGGGATGTTTATCATCGACAATAATATGCGTTTTTGTAGTGAAAGCTAAAAGAGAAACAATAATTTACTCATCGATAATATTATAGAAAGAAAAAAAATTACTAAAGAAAAATAAAATAAAATATATTTGCATGCGAAAAGATCATTAATAGAGCGGCGCAGATCTCTGGTAGAAGGCCCACCACATGCACGACCATTGGACGGTTTGTTCTAAAATAAAGGTCACACATCTATTACCAATGCAACTACGAACCAAGTAAAATCTGTGTCTACAAATATACTAGCAAGTAACTTCAACACAAAGAAAGCTTGAACTCATCAATGTTTAGAGGAGAAAACAAAATCGAATGTGTCAAGAGAAGGAATCAAAAGAACTGAGGAATATGCAAGTTTATCTAGAATTAGGAGAAGACAAGTCCACGGGAAAATAAGAAGACGAGAACGTGAGCCAAGTAAACTAAAAGAAAGGCCTTTTGGGCCATATATAGTGCTTAATCAAAACCCAATCTCTTGTTAACGAGTTTATATGAAACCTGCAAGCAAGATAAAATGATCATATTAAAGTAGAAATCACTCAAGTCTTTCTTCTTTATCCTTAGGAGATGAAAACAGAGGAAAAATATGTCGGTCTTTGGCGCTCTCTTTGGCAAGATTTCTCTCATAAACTATTTCAGCGCAAGGAGAGAAAGAAGAGAAGAAGAAAAGAAGAAAAGAAACTCGCATGCATGCTTTATCTTGTATCACTAACCCAAACAGAAGCCCAAAAAAGTCTAACGACTTACCTGAAAATGGTCAAGTAAAGTGTTGCTAAACATTGAGAGCCTAAATGAAATCATGCATTAAAACACTAAAACCAACCTCATGATAAATAAATAAAAAACCGGAAATAAGTTACTTGAAACTGGGAAAAGCATCAATGTTCAGTAGCATAGAGAAAGAAAAAAAATACAGAAATGAGAACAATGATGCTCATAGCAGAGCATTTGTTTTGTTATCTCAGATGACAAATACTTAAGCCTCCTCCTCCACAACCTCCGAAGATTGTTTCTTCCTTGACTTTTTACTTGATTTCTTCACAACTTTTTCCACATTCTCCTGCTTGTCTTTCTTTGCCCTTCCTTTCTTAGCAGCCTTCACAGATGTAGTAGCCTCATCAGCATCTTTCTTTGGCCTTCCTTTCTCTACACAGATTCAGCAACTTACAAGTTGATAGAAACATCCCCCAGTTACATATGATTATAGAAAAGAAAATGAATATTCAACAAAGAACTGAAATTACTGTTTGGAACAGGCGCCATTAATACAAGGATATTGATAACAGGCTTGTCTCCTCTCGGGTTTGGTAAAGATGCCGAAGTTGCATCAACACCATCTTTGTCGCTCTCAACATCAGCGGATTGATTGACGTCTAACAATTCAGCAGTTAAAAGATTATTTGCAGCACTTGGAGCTAATCAATGAAGGGTTAATATAATGTAACCATGGTGGTAACATCTAGAAATGAAAATCAGCAACGTTAGCAGTAAAAACAAAAAAAGTTTACCTTGGACTATTGCTCCTAAACAAACATCATCTTTGTGACTCTCTTTCTCATCATCCACAAGTGCAAGATCCTTCTCTTGTTCAACCGTAGCAGCACTCTTTTCTCCCTTTTCAAGGTCTATGGAACATCGTAAGATTATATATATATATATATTAAGGGCAACTCTCAATAACAGAATTTAACTACTGTTATATGCTAAAATTTTAATTGATCCATTGCCCACTAAGGAAGCTAATCAAGCTAAAATTTGTGATTCCCATGCCTCATAGCTAATTTAGTTTCTATCGCTATTTCTTTTTCAATGACTTATATATATTCCATAGACCATAATAGAGAGAATTAAAAAAACAGAGCTTACCTTTGCCTATTGTTCCAGTTGGAACCTCTCCTTTATCACTTGACTCGTCACCAAGAGAGCGTTTCTTACGACTTTCGTTGGCATGCGCGCTATCTGAAGTTTTATGTTTCCTCTTTCTAGTTTTCTTATCAGCAGCTTGTGTTACCAGAGCTTCCTTAATCGTCAAATCATTGGTCTCTCTCTCAAGTAACTTAGGGTTTGAAAAAGCAGCTTCTCCAGTCAGCATAATACCCTTCTCCTCAACACTCACCACGTCCACAAATAGAAACGAGTCGTTGCTTGGGAAAGCTATGTTCAAAATCAGCGAATCAACCAAATGATAAAGTTGACCACCACATCTAACCTACAAAACAAAAAAACAATCCTTCCTTTAATTTTTGTTGCTTAAACAAAAATAAAACGACAGTGTGTATGAAGAAAACATTGTTACCTTCAAAGCAGAGATGGTAATTTTCCCAAAACTTGGGAAACACTGTTCATGCTCTTTGCAGATTTTGTCTGTGAATAAACGAACCAAAAAAACATGACTTTCGTTACAAAAAGAAATTCCAAACAAAAAAAAAGAGATTATGAATAGTCACCTCTGAAAGTAGATACACTATCATCCTTGTCCGATAGAACGCCGAGACGAGTATCAATGTTTGTAGTTACAAACACACATTCCCCAGCGTTCCTTGAGCTAGAAGCAACTAGAGCATCTTCTTTAGCCGGAGTCTTGCCTTTCTTTGATCTTTTTTTCTTCTTAGGCTTCTCAGATTTAGCCTCCTCATCACCATCTTTTTCCTTGGTTCCCATCTCAGTTTCTACACAAAATTCAGCAATTACGAATCAATAGATATGTCCCGTTACATATATTATTACAGATAAAAAAAACAAGAAACTGAAATAATGACCGTTTTTAATTGCTTCAGAAGTAGCATTAACAAGATCTACTATGAGACCTTCGTTCTCAACATCATCAGTATATTGGTTTAATTCAGTTAAAAGATTATCCACAACCATTAAAGCTAATCAAGGCTTACTAGTGTGTAACATCTAGAACTGATGATAAGAATCAGTAACTTTAACCATATACAAAAAAAAACAAAACAAAAGTTTACCTTTCTCAAGATCCTTCTCTTGGTCATCAATCATGACTAAATCAGCATTTCCTACCTCCTTTTGAAGGTCTATTCAACAAAGAAACTACAGCTAAGTAACACCCTAAGATAAAGGATCACAGAATTCAACAATTGATATAAACTGAAGTTTACCTTGTTCCATTGTCCCCATAAGATCAAGACTGGCCTCAACATCAATGAAATGACCATCAACATGCTCCTCTTGGTCTGCATCACAAATTTGCTGGTTCTCTCCCATTCTAGTGCCACTTCCCTCGCCTTTTTCATCGTCTTAAGAAAAAATCAGATACAACAATAAAATGGTAAACTAATCAACTAATATTTCCCAATAACTTCTGCTATATACTATTCAATAACAGAGAAAAAAACAGAGGTTACCTTTTGCTTCTGTTGGTGTCTCTACGGAGGGTTTCTTTCTACTTTTGTCGGAACTTTTTGATTTTCTCTTCTTCGCTTTCTTCTCAGCTACTTCACTCGGATCATTGTTGTTCGTAACATGCAAATCATGGTTTGCTAAAACAACTTCACCAATCTGCAGCTTCTCGTTGCCGGAATCAACCATAGCAGCAGAAGATTAGTGTAAGATAATTATTATGGTTCTGATGAAGTTTAGAAGAAATGAAACTCCTCTCTCTGTTTGAGATTAATTTATAAGCGAGTTTCTTTCATAGAGAAGAAATATGAAAAGTCATATTTTTATCGGGAAATCAAAACATAATTAATTAGGATAACAGAACGTCGAACGTCGTCCACCATGCATGACTCCGGGCGACGAAACCGTATAAAGTAGAAACTATTAATTGTTGGGGTGAGGTTGTTGATATATAACATGGCCCATTTAACAATCCACTTTAGGCCCATGTACAAGCATCAAGATAATTAATCTCTAGTTTCTTCTTAAAGATCGATGAGCTTAATTTCTAGTTTACTAGTATGATTGATTAGTAGATAGTTAAATACAACATTTTTATTAATCGGATGAGCTACAAAGCCTTGAATGTAAATTTATGATAAAGTTTTTAGAAAAAATTGGGATCTAGAAGAAGACCTTTTTTTTTTTTCTCTAGAAGAACACCATTTACCCATATATATAGAAAAAGTTGTTGGATCTTTTTTTTTGTTAACCTTTAAAGCAAGAAACAGATAAAACGTCCACGCACCAATCTCTTAATTATCCCTTCACTTAAATTTCCCTCTCTTTGAGGCCTCTATCTCCACGTTTCTCTCCCACACTCTCACAACCAACAAATTATCAAACCCTCTATATATAGTCTTAAATACCAAAAACATTACCCAAATCTCAAAATCTCCTCATAAGTAAAAAAAGAGAGAGGGAGATTGTTGTGATTGATAGTAGAAGAAGAAACATGTGTTGTGGAAGGATTTGCATGTTATGTACGTGCCTGATTTTGGTGGTGATCGCCATCGGTTTGGTCTTTGGTTTTGGGGTATTCAGAAATGGATTCAACAAGATTCATGAAACTATTCATCTCGATTGTGATCCGAGATTAGGCTGCAATGGCGGTAGTCGCCGCGCTTACGGTTTCGTAGCTCCTCCAAACAAATTCTAGACGCTAATCCGACCATGCTTTTGTGTTTGAATGTATGTATGCATTTGAACTTGTAGTAACTAGAGAACGATTTGGGGGAAAACTCTTTATTATGTGTTATTGATCTCAATAGAATTGATACACAATATATAGAGAGACTAACTTATGTTTAACCTAATTAGAATAGGAAATAGATAAACATGAATAAGTAAATATTCTAAATCTCTTAATCCTTATCACAATAGGATATCTAGAATATTCTTTGACTTCGGCTTTACGGGCTTCACGGGCTTGGTCAGCTGTCTTGCTTCCCAAGTTACCTCAATACTCCCCCGCACGACAAACGTGGTACGCAAAACGCAAACTTTGCAATCACAAAGCGGAACACGTTTGCCGTTGACAATATGTTGAGGATGGACAAATCATGTCAACAAACGCCTCAGGGTAAAAACTTCAATCTTGAAAATAGGGATGGAATTTTTGCTCGTCTTTGGTCTTGGTAAAAGGGAATACATCCCGTGGGCGCAAATTATGCTGCTCCACAAACAATAATCCTCATCTTGGACGGTCCATAACTCGGACTAAACATGACCTAAAAACATAAGCGTTCCAATAAACTATACTAATGGTTAAACTATAACCAAACTCCCCCGTAATGGTAAAACTATTACCAAACTAAAAATACTTAATAAACTTGAGAAATTCTAAAACTTAAGAATATATCCCAAGAAAACACATAAGTGACCCGCGAAAATCGAAACCTCTTAAAGCCTTTTTTTTCTCCATAAATCTCCCCACTAATTATTGCATAAAAAAACCAAAATCAATCCTATTAAAAACATAGGAAACCAACGACCTAAAGTTTTGGAAAAAATAATACCCATGTGATTAAGAAACAATCACGTGACCTCTATCTCTTAAGATGCTGATTGCTCGAGTAATTACTCAATACACTTAACCGCAAGGTAGTATATACGGGGTCGATCCACAAGAACCAATGGTACACTAAAGACTTCCGAGACTCGTTCTTAGCTAAAGCGAAGAGTTGTTTTGTTTGGGTTTTCAGAATTATAAATAAAAATGCAAGTAATTTAAACGATTAAACTTATGAATTAAAGACATTGGGCATTAGGGTATTTCAGAGATCAACGAATAATGGAAACATGAGACAAGGAATTCAATGATTAAGCATCGTTCTTGAACATGAACACATTTAGACTAATTCTCTTTCAAGACATTAATCACTAAATTTGACTACTCGATTACTAAACTTTCGCATGTAATTTCCTAGTCAAATTTGCATTATCAAACAAGTTCATTAAGTTCACAATGCGTCCTAACGTCAACTATCGTTGGCTAGAAATACATTGCTCAATTCACATTCTTTCAGGCATTCTATCGAACACTTTTGATGCATAGAAAAACCTAGACTCTACAACAGGGTGATCAATCCTATTCTAGCATTAAGAACATGTGAATCAAAGAACCTAGAGAATAAGAACTCCTAATAACAATCAATCCATTAATCCATTGAATCTCCTAATTAGAACCCTAAAACCCAATTGAAAACTACTCACTCATGGCAAAGAAAACAACACAAAGAGATGAAGAAAGCATAATTGAATTGATAAATAAAGAACAAGGGTTTAGAAATCTTCTCCAAAGTGTCAAAGATGATGAATCTCTAGAATCCCCAAAAGCTTACAAGAGAGAAGTCTCAAAAGTTGCAGAAAAAAAACGTAAAAAGAAAATTAGGTCTCTGGAGTTTTTATACCCAAGTACAAAAAAAGGAAGACAAAACCCGGTTTAGGAAAACCGTCTCGGGAAGTCGAGGCTCGGATCGATCGATCCAGATATGCTGAATCAATTGGTCTTGGACGGATGATGCTGGATCGATCGATCCCGAAGCTCCTGGAGTCAAGCTCTGCACCTGCTTCAAATGCTCGCCAGATTGACCTGTCTTCACTAATTTGGGTATAACTCTTGAATGCACCGTTATATTTCCTTCAAACCACTTGGAAAATCAAGCTAACATCTTCATCTAGCTTGTGTCAAAAATTCAGAAAGATCTAACTGTGGGAAGTCTTCCATCTGAGGCCAAACGTTTGATACTTCTAACCGAAACTGCATCTCCAAATGTGTGTTTATATCCCAAAACAGCTCGTTTTCCTCCGAAGCAACCTAAAACCTGTAAAGACTCGATAAAAGACTAAAAGACTCTAAAAACACACTTTGACTCTTTAAAATATATGATCTAGGAAAGAAAACAAAGACTCAAAACCGATAAAACACACAACATATCAGATGCCTACGTCTTCGTCGTCTTCATCTCCACCATCGGAGTCACCATCTTCTCCTTCAGTGATCACCGTCTTCATGATCTTCTCTTAATCACAAGAACTCTAATGCGGAAGCTTTAATTCCGATCCACTAGAATCGTCTGCTCTGATACCATGTAGAAACTAGAGGAGGATTTGTGGGAAAACTCTTTATTATGTGTTATTGATCTCAATAGAATTGATACACAATATATAGAGAGACTAACTTATGTTTAACCTAATTATAATAGGAAATAGATAAACATGAATAAGTAAATATTCTAAATCTCTTAATCCTTATCACAATAGGATATCTAGAATATTCTTTAACTTCGGCTTTACGGGTTTCACGGGCTTGGTCCGCTGTCTTGCTTCCCAAGTTACCTCAATAGAACTTGGATCAAAATTCTTGATTCTTTAGTTCATTGATCTACAACCAATAACAGAAGATACTGTCAAGGATACTCATTTATGCTCATAATATTTGTTTGTTTCACTTCTTCTGTAATTGCTATATATTGGCTTGTACTCTCTTTTGGTAAATACTAACAAAGAACATCTTTCTACATGGTATCAAGACCCTTAATGATACCCTAGTTCCCAAGCCCTTGTGGTCACAGCGTGACGAATTGAAATTTGTGAACGGAATGAATAAATGAATCAACCCTTAAAACTTTGGGTTTAAACTTTAAATATGATTCGACTCTGCTTTGGTATTTGTTGATTTACGTAATTAGGGACAAAAAGAACAAAAATGGGTAATTTAATTGATTTCATTTAATATTCTCCCGGTATAATGTCTTGTTAACCGGTTGAGTAATTTAGGTTTTTCAACTTTATGGCTTTCTTGGAATCCAAGATTGGGAATTGAACATCTGCCATGAAAAAGCAACAGGTCTTAGAGGATCTATTGATCACAAACTCGGTACGAGAATACTCAGACCCAATCCCAGATGACCTTCTTATTGATATATTCTCTAGAGTGTGTGCAAAGTCTATAGCTAGGTTTCGTTGCGTATCAGCTTTTCCTGACTAAGTCTGTAGCTCGTCCACGGCTTTTGTTTACCTTCAAAGCTAATAAAGAGTTACATGTCTTCTCTTCGCCTCAACCTCAGAGTCCAGATGGGATATCTTCTCTTGTAGCCACTCCTTATAAGTCTTCTCCTTATAAGTCTTTTCCCAAATATTTTCCAACTGATATCTGTACCTCGCACTGTGGATTGGTCTTCCTACAACATCGCCGAAGAAAAGCGCGGGTGATTTGTAACCCCGTCACGGGAGAGTCCATAACCTTACCCAAACTGAAAGGAAGAAGCAGCTATTTTGGCTTTGATCCCATCAGCAAACACTTCAAAGTGTTGTGTATGACTGAGAATACTCATTGGATTTTGATATTGGAGACTGGAAAACGTCTATGGAGGACGATCCAAGACCCAGTACCTAGCCATTCTTTTATGGATGATGACGGAATATTCATAAATGGTATTTTGTATTACATGGGTTATTTTGGAGGTCTATGTTTGAAGATAGTTTGCTTCGACTTTAGGCTTGAGAAATTTGGCGTTGTTAAATTAGATAAAGACATGCAAATTATTCCCAAGTTAACTCTGTTCAACTGCAAAGGTAAATTAGGAGTACATCAGCATATCGGCATGTGGTGTGAAGTAAAAAGTTTTGCCTTGTGGGTTCTAGAAGATGCTGGAGAACATAAATGGTCCAAACGTATATTCATACTGCC